TCAAATTGGAGCAACTTGAGTACAATGACATCCTCCAATGGGACTTCAACGACACACACTGCAACCTCACCTTGAAACAAATCCTCTTCCTAGAATGGATGGACAGAAACTGTCCACATGTTCGCTTCCTGATGAATGGTGATGATGACGTTCTGGCCCACACAGACAACATGGTTGAATATCTGAAAAACCTGAAGGACAATGATGGAAGCAAACACCTGTATACTGGGTACCTGGTGGAGAATGACATACCTGTACGATCACCAGAGAGTAAATATTATGTTCCAGTTCAGGTGTATGAGTCGGACTCATACCCAACTTTCTGTAGTGGTGGAGGATACCTGTTATCTGGCTACACAGCTCATGTCATATACAACATGTCCCACTCAATCACCCTTCTTCCCATGGATGATGTTTACATTGCAATGTGTGTGGACAAAGCAGGACTTCGTGCTAAAGCCCACATGGGAATGAAGCCCCTGGGACATCGCACTCCCCCCAAAAGTGGTCCAGTAGACCCTTGTTTTTTTAAAGGAATTCTACTTGTTCACAGATTCCTTCCTGCTGATTTATATGTTATGTGGAACCGGCTACATGATCCTAATCTGAAATGCTTTCACAGTAACAAATAGCAACCTACAGGTGATGAAAATGTTTACAGGTGCTCATTTTTGCCCAACAGCCTCTTTATTAGGTACACTTCTACAATCTAATGCAATCTGATCCAAAAACAACAATTCTACGGTTAGTAAGATCCTGCTAATGATCAAATCAGAACTTTTTTAGGAGACGAAATTGATAAAATATTTAAAAAATATTTACACCAAATGGTGCTGATCACTGGTTTTCTGTCATTACCTTTATTAAAAATATGAAATAATGTTTTAGTTTGAGCTGATGTTTAGCCTTCCTTGTATCCATTCAAAATCTATTCAGAATAGCTACATTTGTAACATTTGTGAAACATACCAAACAAAAAGATTGAATGTCAACTATAAAGCTTTGTATGTGGTATTAACATGTCACCTTGTCTGCAGTACTTTGATCGGCTCTTGCTCCTCTTACTGTTTGTTGTAAAGTTTGATTAGGTGAAGGCCTCTTGATTGTTTTTTCTTGTCTTTGTGGTGGAACATGATGATATGAACCCTATCACATGTGTTACTCAGGTGGAGCCTATATAACATACTGATGTCTTTGTCCTGCTATGATTGTTGATCTTGAATAAAAGAGAAGTGCATTTGGAGCCAGTGAAAGAGGTTTTTTTTTTTTTTCCCCACATTCAGAGATGAAAGTAAACCTTCTTTTTTGTCCTGTATATAATAACAATCAAAGGGAAGAATACATATTTCTCTCACCCTGCTTGTGTGTTTTTGTGGTTATTTGCAGGAGCAGCAACAGGAGTGTTGCAGGCTGAGCTCAGCTTAACCAGTTGTAGTTCATCAGGACAGTTCAGTGTGTTTCTAATGCTCGTATATTCTTATACAGTTGATGATCTCGCCAAAGCAGTTTGACGCTTTTAAAATTAGACTGAATGTCAACAAAAGGCTTCAGTATCAGTGTCTTGGATGTGAAATGGTCAAACAGACCTCATAAACAGAACAAATGAAAGAGCAGAGATCTACCACCACTTAGTGGGACAACTGAATTACAGCAACACGTGCAGGACAAAACCCAGCAATGGAGACAAGACGTAAGTAGAACAAGTAGAAAATAAATACTGGAAGCTTTTCAAAAGTCAAAACATTATTTTTATTTCCGTCAACTAAAATGTTTTTCCACTGCTAGTTTAAGTTTTTAGTTAACTATAATAGCCTTGGAGTGTGTGTGTGTTTTTACTTTTAGTGGAAAATGTTTGACAAATGGCATACAACTGTCTGTCAGAGAAGACTGGGACACTTCTTTAGATTTCCATCAACATCAGACAGTTAACTACTACAGATGTTTTTTTTCTCCTATGTTGGAAATAGTACACACCAATAAGTCATGTGAAAATTCTGTCGCGTAATCTGAGGTGTTGCTGTCAGGTGAGAATCTGTCAAAATCTACCGGGTTTGTAGGAGTGATTGAAAACTCAAGACTGCCATAATATACAACGTCTTTACAAGTGTATGTAAACTTTTGTTTATGACTGTAACCTGTCTATATTTTTATTTTAGCAACATTGATAACACTATTTATTCCTGTTATCAGAATCTGCATAAATTGCAAAAAACATCTGGTTTGTGCCCCTTTTTGTATATCTATTACTGCACATGATACTTAAACACTAATTTTTCCACTTGTGGAAGTAGGAAAGAGAGGAAAGTGCAAAATACTGGCTGATTAGATGACTCCCAGTCTCAAGAATCATGACAGAATAGAAACCTTCTCTCCCAATAATGATCCAAAGCACCCTGCCAAAATCACACAAATGTTTCCAAAGCAGAAAAAGTAAAGTCCACGGCCTAGCCAGGTGTGTTGTCTAACTTGTGCCCAATTGAACACCTGTGCAGTATCTCAGAGAGAGAGGTAGAGGAACACAACGCCTCCTGCAAAGATCAGAAGAAAAGAAAAAACTGTTCAGGACTTTTTTTTGCAGCACTGGCATCCTTTTCCTTAAGAAGGTTGAGTCTGTGATTAGGGGTGCAGGTGGACATGAGAAGTACTGAAAAAATGCAAGATGGAAGTCTCAATAATAAAGGAAGTACTGCCTTTTACTACATGAAGTTCTAATTTTTTAAATATTTTGTTTTACTTATTTTTAACATACAAAATCTAAACTGTTTGTAATTTTACCAAATACCCTTAGAAGTAATGCAACTGCTGTAAGATAACAACATTTTGAATCATTTGACACTTAAGTGACATTACAAGAGATGTTCTCACTTGTGTTGTCTGCTATCCCAAGATTTTCAAAAGTGTAAATATAAGTATGTGTTCTATTTGGTGACTGCTTCGGAGGCACAAACAAGCTTTTTATGGTAAGGATAAAATTTTTCAGGATTATTATTAGTAATACTGATTACTGACTCAAATGATTAATCATATTGTCTATTTAGCTCAGTGTAGAATTCACCTGCTTGACCTGAACCTCAAAACCTGGCATGTGTGACATCTTACAGCCTCTTCAAGTTTAGATGTCAGTGGCTTCCTGGTTAGGCAGGAACATGATCCGACTTTGTCCCAAGAGAACAGAGCTGAGGGCTGACCTGCAGAGTTGCTGCTAAGCTGCACCACACCTAAAATTTCTTTGTGTGGTCTCAGGGCTCTTTACCCACTGAGGCTCCCTTCTTAGGCAGCTTTTACTGACAATTTACACCTGGTAGACAATCAGAAAACAACTCTAAACTTTGCTTCAGTAAACTATGTGTTTGTTCCAGCCCAACTGAACCATTTGCTCAGACATCAAACACTCTGAGCTATGTAGCATTTTGGGAGAGCGCTCTTACCTTTTTTTACCTGAAAGGCTTAACCCAGGGCAACACGAAACGCCTTGTACGTCCCCTGTCATTTCACGTTGACTGTGCTCACATGAACTGTGGATGGACAGAGGAATACTCACCTACGCACTGATCTACCAGTATGCTCAGGTAATTCTGCTGAATGACACTAGGTTTGAAGTGTTTTATATACATGTATATTGGTATTCTACAAACAATATTTAGACTGTCTGATATGGAGTCAGGGACAAACTTTTATACTCCTTTCGCTTACTCATTCATAAACAATGCAAGATTAGCCTATAGCCTTGTCTATATAGTTTCTATAATTTCATTGTCATATTCCTGTTGGATTTATATGAGCAATGACACATTATTTTTTGGAAGTGCGCCACAATTTATGAGAAAAAGAGCTTAACGGTAATGCATCTCACTACAATAGATCATGCCTGGTTGAGAGACTTTTCTCCACATGTTTACTGGAAACATCCATTTTGGTCACAGAGAATGAGAAGGAGGACAGACACTTTGATGAACTTTGCCTTCTTGTTTTTTGTTTTTTGGTAATAACATTTATTGAACATTTTCCATCCTTCTTCTGGCAGTACAGTAAGATTTTATTACTTCCAGTGACACACAAACAGACACACAAAAGGAATGCATCACAGCTTAAAACTGCACTGAATGCTACAAAACAAGAAAAGTGGGTTTTTGTTCGAGGAAGAGGTAATGTTGACTGACAGAGGCCAAACTAGGCCCTGGACAACCTAATAGACCCTGCTTTGTAAATTATAGATTTTTTTTAACTGTTTAAAAAAAACAAAACTCAAAATGTCCATGGTATTGGCAGATCATTTCTGTGAATGTAACCGTGTTGGACAAAATGTTCTGTTAATTTGCTCCTGTTAGATTCATTCCAAGAATAAATCAAAGCAAAACATATCCCTGCAGGTTTCTGTGAAAGATCTAATCTTTTTTTTTTTTAAATCTCAGATTGTACTATATATGCGATATAATACCTTAATGCTTAAGTGCAAAATAGAATGCTTTGTATTTGGTCTCCTGGGTCAACAACCTATTCCAGAAGAAAATTGTCAATTTGCATTTGCATGCAGAAAAGAAAGATGCTGTTCAGCTGTTCATGCAACATTGATTCTGACAACCAGATAGCAGCATGTAACATTATACACAACTTTAATTTCTCCTCTCTGTCAAACCGGTGCGGTATTTCCTCCATAGACCAACCATACTGTAAATAAAGCACAAAAAGTAATTCAACAAAAGTTCATTTAAGGCTTTAGAAATCTATAGTTAGTTTCAATGCTAGAAACTATCTGCTTTGCAAAATATGATATTCTTTATGACAGTTTTGTCCTGTTGAACTTAAACTCTAAGTTAAAGTGTTGGAGATGTAACATTTTTTTGGGAATTGAAAAAAAAACTATTTTTTCTCATTGCAGCATTTCAAAGAAGAATATCTTCATCGTTGCACTCTTGTTGTTGGGAGTTCGTGTTGTGGTTATTTATCTTTGGTTCCCTGAAGATTTGACTGATCAAAAACCCTTCCTGCTTCAAGCAGATATGAGAAAGTCTGTCCTCCAACCAAAACCAGCAACCACAAGTTCTACTTTTAAATACTCCCGGCCAATGTGTCGTGAAAACACATCTGCTGCCAGAGTCCCCGGCTTCAACTCACTTCCTCATAAAATACAAAACTTTCTCTACTATCGCCATTGTCGACATTTTCCCATGATACTGGATGTTCCTGACAAATGTGGAGGAGCTGAAGGATCTGCAGAAGTCTTTCTTCTACTGGTCATTAAAAGTCCTCCTGTGAACTACGGCCGTCGAGATGTGCTGCGTAAAACCTGGGCTAAAGAGAGATTGCAGAATGGTGTGTGGATCCGAAGACTTTTCATTACAGGAACAGCAGGTGATGGTTTAGAGAAGAAGAGACTGAACAAATTCCTCAAACTGGAGCAACATGAGAACAATGACATCCTCCAATGGGACTTTGTTGACGCATATTACAACCTCACATTGAAACAAATCCTCTTCCTGGAATGGATGGACAGAAACTGTCCTCATGTTCGCTTCCTGATGAATGGTGATGATGATGTTTTTGCTCACACAGACAACATGGTTATGTATCTAAAAAGCCTGAAGGTCAATGATGGAAGCAAGCACCTGTATACTGGACAATTGAGGACAAATCAGGCGCCTATTCGTGATGAAAATGATAAATATTATGTTCCAGTTCAGGTGTACGAGTCAGGGTCATATCCTGATTTCTGTAGTGGTGGAGGCTTCCTGTTGTCTGGCTACACAGCTCATGTCATATACAACATGTCCCAGTCCATCACCCTTCTTCCCATGGATGATGTTTACATTGCAATGTGTGTGGACAAAGCAGGACTTCGTCCTGAATCCCACATGGGAGTGAAGGCTTTTGGACATCGTGGTCCATCCAGTACTGACCCATTAGATCCTTGTTATTTTAAAGAAATTCTACTTGCTCACGGATTCTCTCCACTTAATTTGTATGTTATGTGGAACAGCTTATATGATCCTGATCTGAAATGCTTTGACAATGTCAAATTGTAACTTACCAGTGATAAAAGTTTGGTAGTGTTCATATTTACTCAATGTCCTGTTTATCAGGTACACTTGGAAAACTGGTTGCATTCAACCAAAAAAATATTAATTCTGCTGTTACTTAGATAACCTCCTGTACATTTTTCTTATTAAGTCTGTTGTTTCTAGTGATGTTGTATTCAACTGTATTCTGTTGAAAGATGTTTGCAATATTTGTTTAGTACATATGTGGTTCGATCAAATTCTTTCTTGGTACCTAGCTGTGTATTTCTGGGTAAGTGAAGAACAGATGACTTTAAGTAAGAAGTGGTAAAAATTTTGTGCTTTCGAGGGACTTTCAAAGAAATGACACTGTATGTATATATTGTTGTAACAAAATTACATTGTAGTGAATTTATCATGACTACCATAACCTTGGTCCCACTATTGGCATAGTCAGGTTTTGAATGCACCCTATATTATTTACATTCTTTGGCTGAGGAGTTCCTGTTAATGTCATGAGAATGTGATACTGTATTGTTTGAAAGACAAATGCTACAATAATTTAAATATGATTATCTGATCACAGTCACATGTGTTAGTCAGGTGGGGCCTACATGACATACCAATGTCTTTTCTACAATGATTGTTGAACTGGAATAAAAGGGAAGTGCATTTGGAGCATTGATAGAGTGTAAAACATTCTTTCCTACAATCAGAGATTAAATTAAAACATGTTTGTGGTCGATGTTTGTATATAATAAAGAGCTAAATACATGTAATGTACACTTGGATACGAAGTTTGCTGTAATTTTCTTATCAATATATAGTATAAACCAGCGGTCCTCAAACAACGGGCCGCGGACCGGTACCGGGCCGTGGGTCATTTGGTACCGGGCCGCACAGATAGAATAAAAACATTTTATTGGTTTATTTTTATTTCCAGCGGAGTCTGCAGGGTGTTTTATTTTGAAAAATGACTAGCTCGTCTTCCCGTCACTTCCGTTTGTGTTCGTTTCCCGTACTTGACTGTCAATTTTTATGCCCGGCTGCTAAACGAAGCCGTCAGTCAAAAACAAACGTCTCAGGAGAGCTGCTTTGGAAAGTGGGAGAGACAGGAGAAAAAGTAAACATGTTAAGCAATAAAAATTAATTTTATTCATTTATGAAACTTTTCAATAGAAAAAAACAAACAATTATTTGTTATGTGCGTAATGACCGGTCCGTAGAAAAAAATTCTTGCTTAAAACCGGTCCGTGGTGCAAAAAAGGTTGAAGACCGCCGTTTATACTTTAAACAACAGTGTGCCATGCTTTATATGTATGCTGTTGTTCATCTGCCTCCTGGGCTGCATATGAAAGAACAGTGATAAAATTACGTGAAGAATACATCTAAGCCACGCATTTATTTTATGAAAATACCCAATTGTATTTAGTTTGATCAAACAGTTTGGCTAGAAATTGATGAACTTGCTTAACTGGGGTTTGCCAGTTTTCCTTCAGGACTGCAGCTGCCCAGTGTGAGTATAAAATAGTCGTGGCACACATAATATATATATATATATGTGTGTGTATATCGGCTGCTACATCATCTCACTGATGCTGCTACCTGTAAATAGACAAATATGCACTTTAGTTTCTGTCTCTTTATTCTTCTGTATTTATATTACTGTTTCATTTTGTTTGTTTACATATACATATATATACATATTGTCAAGTGAAGTCAAGGTTTGAGATCCCAGACGCCACTAACAAAGAACTTTGGCTCTGCAGTAAGCAATATAAAAGACTTTTTATGATTTGAAATGCTATATGCTATGCTACAAGTACGATGATTGTGTGATTAAATTGATATGTGAAAATTAAAGAAATGATTCTTAAATAAACGTAGAATAACCGGATAATCAGTCGTGTTAAAGTTAAGCTGATGATTCTAAAACATTGTAATGGATTTAGGTGTTTTAGGTGGTTTCCAGTAGAGTGTATGACAAGTTAAAAGGAGCAAGTGAGGACAGTGTCCTTAACGACAGAGTGAGTAAAACACAGTTTGAATTGCATTTGAAATAAAAATTTATTTAGCAGATTTACTGTCATCTTGTCCTGTCCTTACAAATGTTGTCAGGTGGTGCAACCAGGCAAAATATTCCTTTAAACCAATAAATAACAGGTTAAAATGAACAAATGTTTGAAAATTATGATGTATAAAGGTATTGTATTGAATGCAGTCATTTGTGTTTTTGTGTAATACTTTTTCTGTCTTTAAACATAAAGTCAGGTGCAATACATACCGAATACTGAGCCACTAGAATGAAATATTCTTAAATATTTTAAATACAAAACACAACTACAAAACAATGATGTGTTAAGCACTGTAGACAATCTAAGGGATACTTGCCAAAGCTTTCACATAGAATAAATAATAGGAAAGTACTTTTAAAAAAACAAAAACATTCAGTTACGCCGCCTGACATTTTTTGGGCAGTAAAGTTAAAAACAGTCAAAAAAAAATAATGTAAACACTTTAAAATGGTTTTTAACAAACGAGACATGTTTAAACACATTGTTGTGGACTCAAAAATATGCATTACGTCCATTTTGAAAAGTCATTTAAAAATACCTTTTTAGAAGTTCCATTTTTTCAATGACCCAGAAACATGCAGAAGGAATGGCTATGGTCTGGCAGCTTGTGTAGGAAAGAACAGAGTCTTTATGGGAGCTGTGTTGATTGTGGGCAGGTGAGTCCGGAGTTGCAGCTGTGGATGATTGTCCTTGATAAGGGCTGAGATGCGCAGGGGCAGAGAGGGAGAGAGGGAAAGGGACACAGAACAAGAGAAACACAAACAGAGAGAGAGGAGGGAGAAGAGAGGGAGAAAAAGAGGGAGACAGGCAAGGGCTGAGGCTGGGGGGTCATGACACTTTCTTAGGTTTCCTGATAGGCTGAAATGGATCAAAATGAGACGTCATAGAAGTTTGCACATCACCTGGAATGACCCGAACTACTGTCACTGTGCACATATTGTCTGTGGAGGAACTGTAATGGAAAAATACTGCATCTGCATGAATAATGTTAAAGCAAGTTTCTCTAAGTTTCATTAAAGCTGAGTGGAAAGGTTACAGGCCCAAAATGTGTTCCCATAACAT